AAGCATATGTCTGTTTGATTGTGGGAAGAGTCGAACGTTTTTGGCTAGAACAGGGTTCGAGATGGGTGCCTTTTCGAAAATGCAAAAAACGAAGTGCCCTTGACTTTCGCGAAATTTTATCGAGTCCGTTTGACCCTCAGTCTCAATGAAAACCCTTCGAAAAGCGAAACGTCGACTAAAGAAACAACAAAAAACGACGAATTTTTTGTGTCTTTTAGGCCTCGAAAACGTTACCCCATTTGATTTTACTCAAAAATGATATTCAGCTTGCTTTTAAGCCACCTTTGCCGAGCCCTGGGCTAGAATGATCGCTACTCATTCATAGAATAGTAAAAAAGTCGTGTCGGAAATCTCACATCTAATTAATGTATGAAAACCTACTTAAAAAGGTGTATCTCAAGTTTTTCCTAGTGTTTGTTTTGCAGCAATAATCTTAACATTGCCCCGTCCCCCCTTGGTGATATACCATTTCGATAGCTATGATCCCGTAGAATATCCAAAGTCGTTATCCCTCCCAATTTCTCGACGAATTTTAAGTGGCGCTCGACCTTAGTAGCTCGCTGATTTACAGCTATCTGCTATTGTATGAGGGTCCGCACGATCCAACAAGGGGCATTTCTTGACATGTCGTTATCCCTACGCCATTTTAGAACAAAGGATTGCCATAACGAATGTGATCGTGAAAAAAATTTCTGTTGGTCTCGTTAAGCTATGGTAGATTCTCGTTTTTGAGGCTATCCACACGAATTTGGCATCGAAATTGGCTGAAGTGAGGACTGAGTTGGAAATGGCTGAGATCGAGAAGGAGACGTTTAGGTGAGGAAAGGGTGAGAGAGTCGTTCGTAAATTTCAAATAATTTCAAATTTTCTAGGCGACTTTCGGAACATGAAGCAAAATCAATCAATAAGAGAGTTTCTCGCCTTCAAGAAGAAGTACGGCAACAAGAAGCTAGAGAACGTGAGCTACAAGAAGTACATGGAAAGCTCAAAGGTAAATCAATTTTCAGCCTATGGAATTTTTCTGTTTTTTTTTCTTTCGTAGAAAGAGACGGTTTTTATTTTCTGGTTGATCTTGTTGTTCCAGATCAACACTGGAAACTGGAACAACTTGAGCTACGAAATAAAGCCACCGTAGGAGCAGAACCAGTGCAGTACAACAACAATCAAGCGGTTGAAGTTTGATCAGAGCGCTTTTATCACAGTTTCATTGTATTTATTTGCATCTGTTGTTACTAAACATTTCTGTGACTCAGTCTTTGTTCCCACAATTTATCAGCTCCCACAACGGCTGAAACTGACTCTTCAGTAGGTGTGAAAGGGCGGCTGGGTGAAGTGGGTATTACGTGCTGGTGTGCGGTTATAATCTGTTGCGGTGTGCCTTTTTGCCGCCGACGCGGTGCCTAGGCACTTACCGTAATCTGCGTCGGACGTAGCGCACGTATATGAGAACGTTCTCGTTGTCGTCAGGATGCACATTGCGAGAACAGTTATAAAGATTCAAAATCGGGAAGCGGCAAGGGAGGCTTTGGATTGTGTAGCTTTTCGTAGTTGGGGATGGTAACGCAAATTTACAGAAAAATCTCTTATTCGTTGGACATTTCAAAGGTTGTGTGTTGATAGGCTAGC